CACTACTTGCATATCAGTTTTACATATTTTAACACTTGTTATAAGCTGTAAACTGTTTCCAAATGTTGCTAAGATCCCTTGATTTCTTAACCAAATTAAACTTAAGAGGCTTTATCAGAATTCTGATAAAGTCAAACTTTGTGTTTCAGAAACAATCATCTTATCAGAATTATGTTTAGAACAATATCCCCAAAGAGACCAGCTTAGATGCTACAGGCATATAAGAATTTTGCTTAGAAGGCCATTGATACAAGATGCTACTAACTTATAAAAATTCTGTTAAGAAGACTATTGTTATGAGATGCGACAGTCTTATCAGAATTCTGCTAAGAAGACTTTTGCTTTGAGATGTGACAGTCTTATCAGAATTATGTTAAGTAGGCTATTGCTATCAGATGTGAGTCTTATCAGAATTCCGTTAAGGATTTCATTGGTACTATATTCGATTCTTATCAGAATTCTGTTAAGAGGGCTATTGTTATGAGATGCGACTGTCTTATCAGAATTCTGTTAAGAAGGCTATTGTTATCAGATGTAAGTCTTATCAGAATTCCGTTAAGGGTTTCATTGGTACTATATTCGATTCTTATCAGAATTCTGTTAAGAAGGCTATTTTTATCAGATGCAACTGTCTTATCAGAATTCTGTTAAGAAGGCTATTGTTATCAGATGCGACTGTCTTATCAGAATTCTGTTAAGAAGGTTAATGTTATGAGATGCGAATGTCTTATCAGAATTCTGTTAAGAAGGCTATTGTTATCAGATTTGAGTCTTATCAGAATTCCGTTAAGGGTTTCACTGGTACTATATTCGAAGTGTTATCAGAATTCTGTTAATAATTATATTGTTATCAGACGCGACAATCTTATCACTGAGAATTCTGTTAAGGACAAAATGTATATTGAAATGTTGGCATATCATTATTAAGAAATACTGTAAAGGACATGAAGAATATTGACATTTATCATATACTTAGAGTAAATAACTTATAATTTTTACAGTATGATAATAGCATTAAATTTACGTGAATTCCATATTTTCCGAAATGGTGTTTAGCGGGCTGAGAAAAATTTATCACATGCTTCGATTATTATCACATGCCTTTCCGTAACGTTATCACATGGCATTCCGGCGTTACTCGGCAAATTCCGAAAAATACACCTTGAGCAATGCTACGTTTTCAATGAAAAACTTTACAAAGTAGGGTACAAAACAATTATTAGGAAACAGGAACATTATTTTACTTTTTATATTATGTAAAATGCAAAAAAAAAAAAAACCAAACAAACAAATCAAGCGATACAATAAATGCATTTTTTAAAGTTTCCAGCATAATTTAGAAAGTTACTTTATAAATGTTGACTTTTCCAAATAGTGTCCATTATGTTTTGTTGATTTTTTTTATCGTCAATATAAAAATGTATAATTATACTGTTGTTTTTCTCCTCTGTTGAGGCATATGATAGAAAGATTTCATATCGAATGTATTACATTTGGTGTCCGACGTCCGTAAAATTTTCACTTTTTGAACTTCTACTTGTGAACCACTTAAACGGAGCAAAATAGTAAATTGTTATTTTTCTTCATTATTGAAGCATATGATAATAAAATGCTTCGCAGGGCGCAGCTTGATACGACCACAGAGGTCGAACCCTGAACAGTTGGGGCAAGTATGGACACAACATTCAAGCTTGATAAAGCACTGAATTTGGATTGTTATTAAATATTTGACACAGCATAGGTTTCTGACACAGAATGAATGTGGTCTAAGAACTTAAAACATTTTAATTTACCTATTCAAACCATTTCATTATTATTTGCTTTTATATATAAATCAGAAATAACCAATTTAAAATGGAAAATTTTAAAGAAAAAAAAGGGGAAAAAAATCCCCCCTTAAATTTTTTGAACCCCCTTATGATTCATCACCCCAAACTCAATCTCAGCCTTCCCTTTGTGTTACAATGTATGGTGCCTTGCAGTACAATTTCAGAGAGATCCGTACACTTGAACATAAGTTATTGTCTGGAAACTAGAAAAATGCTTGTTTTTTGGCCCCTTTTTGGCCCCAAATTCCTTGCATTTGGATTGTGATTAAATATTTGACACAGCATAGGTTTCTAACACAGAATGAATGTGGTCTAAGAACTTAAAAATTTTAAATTGGACATTCACCTATTATGGTCCAATATCCAAAATCTAAATACATGGTTAGATTCAGCATATCAAAGAACCCCAAGAATTCAATTTTTGATGAAATCAAACAACGTTTAATTTTGGACCCTTTTGACCTCAATGTGGACAAAGTTGATAACGGGGCCCAAAAATCAAAAATCTAAATACATGGTTAGATTCAGCATATCAAAGAACCCCATATATTCAATTTTTGTTGAAATCAAACAAAGTTTAATTTTGGACCCCGATTTGGACCAACTTGAAAACTGGGCCCATAATCAAAAATCTAAATACATGTTTAGATTCAGCATATCAAAGAACCCTAAGAATTCAATTTTTGTTAAAATCAAACTAAGTTTAATTTTGGACCCTTTGGACCTTAATGTAGACCAATTTGAAAACGGAACCAAAAATTAAGAATCTAAATACACGGTTAGATTCGGCATATCAAAGAACCCCATATATTCAATTTTTGTTGAAATCAAACAAAGTTTAATTTTGGTTCCCGATTTGGACCAACTTGAAAACTGGGCCCATAATCAAAAATCTAAATACATGTTTAGATTCAGCATATCAAAGAACCCTAAGAATTCAATTTTTGTTAAAATCAAACTAAGTTTAATTTTGGACCCTTTGGACCTTAATGTAGACCAATTTGAAAACGGAACCAAAAATTAAGAATCTAAATACACGGTTAGATTCGGCATATCAAAGAACCCCATATATTCAATTTTTGTTGAAATCAAACAAAGTTTAATTTTGGTTCCCGATTTGGACCAACTTGAAAACTGGGCCCATAATCAAAAATCTAAATACATGTTTAGATTCAGCATATCAAAGAACCCTAAGAATTCAATTTTTGTTAAAATCAAACTAAGTTTAATTTTGGACCCTTTGGACCTTAATGTAGACCAATTTGAAAACGGAACCAAAAATTAAGAATCTAAATACACGGTTAGATTCGGCATATCAAAGAACCCCATATATTCAATTTTTGTTGAAATCAAACAAAGTTTAATTTTGGTTCCCGATTTGGACCAACTTGAAAACTGGGCCCATAATCAAAAATCTAAATACATGTTTAGATTCAGCATATCAAAGAACCCCAATAATTCAATTTTTGATGAAATCAAACAAAGTTTAATTTTGGACCCTTTGGACCTCAATGTGGACCAATTTAAAAACGGGGCCCAAAATCCAAAAACTAAATACACGGTTAGATTCAGCATATTAAAGAACCCCAAGAATTCAAGAATAAAACCCCATTGAAATTGGTCAAGAAATAAGCAATTTATACGAAGTATCTTCTTTTGCACAATACTGTGCAATTAAATATTTCTTGCTATTGCGCAATACTGTACAATTGACAATTTCTTGCTATTGCGCAATATTGTGCTATTGGATATTTCTTGCTATTGCGCAATACTGTGCAATTGAAGATTTCTTGCTATTGCGCAATACTGTGCAATTGAAGATTTCTTGCTATTGTGCAATACTGTGCAATTGAAAATTTCTTGCTATTGCACAATACTTATTATATAATAATTTACACATCCTGTTTGGTGTGTATCTCCTACCATATCATTATTATTTGCTTTTAAATATAAATCAGAAATAACCAACTTAAAATGGAAAATTTTAAAAGAAAAAAAAAAGGAAAAAAAGAAAAAAAAAGGAAAAAAAAAAAAAAATCCCCCCCCCCAAATTTTTTAAACCCCCTTATGATTCATCACCCCCAAACTCAATTCCAGCCTTCCCTTTGTGGTATGGTACCTTGCAGTACAATTTCAGAGAGATCCATACACTTGAACACAAGTTATTGTCTGGCAACTAGAAAAATGTGTTTTTTGGCCCCTTTTTGGCCCCAAATTCCTAAACGTTTAGGGCAATTACCCCCATTCTCAAACCCAGCTTTCCCTTTGTGATATGGAACCTTGTAGTACAATTTCAGAAAGATCCATACACTTACACACAAGTTATTGTCCTGAAACTAGAAAAATGCTTGTTTTTTTCCCCTTTTTGGCCCCTAATTCCTAAAATATTGAGGCAATTACCCCCATCATCAATCCCAGCCTTTCCTTTGTGGTATGGTACCTTGCAGTACAATTTCAGAGAGATCCATATACTTGAACACAAGTTATTGTCTGGAAACTAGAAAAATGCTTATTTTGGCCCCTTTTTGGCCCCCAATTCCTAAACGTTTCGGCAATTACCCCCAAAATCAATTCCAGCTTTCCCTTTGTGATATGGAACCTTGTAGTACAATTTCAGAAAGATCCATACACTTACACACAAGTTATTGTCATGAAACTAGAAAAATGCTTGTTTTTTGCCCCTTTTTTGGCCCCTAATTCCTAAAATTTTGAGGCAATTACCCCCAAAATCAATCCCAGCATTCCTTTTGTAATATGGAACCTTGTGGTACAATGTCAGAGAGATCCATACACTAACACACAAATTATGTCTGGAAGTTACAAAAATGCTTATTTTTGGCCCCTTTTTGGCCCCTAATTCCTTTACTGTTGGTACCATAACCCCCAAAATCAATCCCAACCTTCCTTTTGTGGTATTGAACCTTGTGGTAAAATTTCATAGAGATCCATTCACTTAAACTAAAGTTAGAGTGCGAAAACCAATGTGTCTTCGGACGACGCAGGACGACGCCGGACGACGACGACAACGACGACAACGACGACGACGACGACGACGACACCAACGTCATACCAATATACGACCACAAAAATTTTTTTGCGGTCGTATAAAAAGATCATAACATGTCATTTTTCATATCAGATGTATTATCAGCCCTCTGTTAATATCAGCCCTCGAGCCTTCGGGATATGAAAAATGCCATGTAATAATCTGATAGTATATCTATCAGAATTCTGACCAAAAACACATATATAGTGTTATCAGAATAATGGTAAGGACATTATTGTTAACAAGGTAAAACGAAACATAGACATATATATCGTATGAAAAGAAAATACCGCATTTAATTTGAAAGTAATATTATAATAATAAATGAACTCAGTTAATCGTACTTGGTTGCCTTGCAGTGAGGTGAGAGTTGTTCCTTTGTTATAAAGTCTTCGTAGAATAACAAATTGACAAATGATTGGTAAACATTTTCCTTACTTTTTCATTACAATAACATCAAATTTTGATAAAACATTAATAAACTCCCTTAAGCACATCAAATACATTTTAATTTGTAGCTACTGTCTGCTTAAAATACACACATACAACAGCAATACTTTTTTCATGTGTCCAATTAGAATTAGGAATTCTTACTGAAATATACAAATGGAATTTAATTTGACTTAAAACGTCTGGAAAAATCATAAGTGATAACTTTGTTACACTTCTTTAAATTTTATAGTAAGTAAGATATTATGCATATTGTAATTGACAATTTTGTACAATATTCACACTTTTAGGATTTGTTAATCTTATCCTCAAATATATATATTGTTGATCATATCCTCCTAATACATGATGTAATAGCTGATACTCGTTGGAGTTATTTAGGGTCCCACACATACATGTAGAAGCACTATATATAACAGTTTTTTAAATGTTGTAGAGCATTTAGTTTCCTTTCCAACGTCAACTTGTATTTCCCAACCAACAAGAGATCAAATGTGTGGTGTTCTTCTCTAAACCAGGAAATGTTTCCTGAAAAAGAAAGAAAATGAAACTTCAAAACCCTATTTTAGAGTTTCTTTGATACATTAAGTATGAATAAAAGGAGGAGTGAGGTACATGTCAATGAACCAGCAACCTAACCACATCCTGAATGTCAAAATACCTATTCAACAAAAGAATGTATAGTTAATATCGTTCGAATTAATTTCTAATCAAATGAGTTTAGATTATTCAAACTTCCACATATATATTTGCACTTAACACCAAAATCTACAAACAATAAAAATCAATAAGAAATTACAGGAAACACTGACGAGGTTACCGGTTTTAAGCAGAAATATAAACTTCGGTCGGTAAAAAACAAAATTTCACATCACCCACTCTGTATATCAAAATAAAGGACTCTTTAGTTCATAACAAGAAACACAATGCAAGCGATCTTAAAGTCAACCGTCTTGAGATTATGTAATGCATCACATGCACCGATAATTTGACAGCCACTGATTTGAAGATACATTAGTTAATCATAAACACCGAGATCTTGACAGTCAAACATTTTAAGATACATAAAAGTAACACAAGCACCGAGATATTGACTGACACTCATCTTGAGGTATATTGATACACCACAAGCAACAAAATCCTGATAGACACTGATATTGAGATACAGTAATGCACCAGAAGCACCAAGAGATCTTGACAGTCACTCATCTTGAGATACAGGATAGCATCACAAGCACCGAGATCTTGACAGTCACTCATCTTGAGATGCAGTATAATATCACAAGCACCGAGATCTTGACAGTCACTCATCTTGAGATACAGTAAAGCAACACAAGCACCGAGATCTTGTTAGTCACTCATCTTGAGATACAATAATGAATCACAAGCACCGAGATCATGACAGTCACTCATCTTGAGAAACAATAAAGCATCACAAGCACCGAGATCTTGAAAGTCACTCATCTTGAGATACAGTAAAGCAACACAAGCAGCGATATCTTGTTAGTCACTCATCTTGAGATACAATAATGAATCACAAGCACCGAGATATTACAGTCAATCATCATGAAAACAATAAAGCAAGACAAGCATCGAGATCTCACAGTCACTCATCTTGAGATACAGTAATGCACCACAAGCAACGACAAATATTGACAATCACTCATCTTGAGATACAATAATAAATCACAAGTACCAAAATTTCACAGTCAGTGATCATGAGAAACAATAAAGCAACACAAGCACTAAGATCTTGACAGTCATTCATCTTAAGATACAGTAAAGCAACACTAGCACTGAGATCTTGACAGTTACTCAGCTTGAGATACAATAATGAACCCATGCACCGAGATCTCACAGTCACTCATCAAGAGATACAGTAAAGTAAAACAACACCGAGATCTTGACAGTCACTCATCTTCAGATACAGAAATGAATTACAAGCACCGAGATCTCGCAGTCACTGATCTTGAGAAACAGTAAAGCAACACAAACACCGAGATCTTTTAATAGTCACTCATCATGATATGCAGTACAAAAGAACAAGCACTGAGATCTCACAGTCACTCATCTTGATAAACAACAAAGCAGCACAAACACTGAGAAACATTAACTTCAAAGCAGATTCTGATAATCATTTATTTTGGAGTATATCCATACACCACAAGCATCGAGATCTAGACAGTCACTCATCTTGAGAAACAGTAAAACAACACAAGCACCAAGATCTTGACAGTCACTCGTCTGGAGAAACAGTAAAACAACAGAAGCACCGAGAACTTAACAGTCACTTATATTGAGACGTGTTCGTACACCACAAGCACCGATAACTTGACAGTCACTCAACATAAAGATGTGCATACACCACAAGCATCAAGAACTTGACGGTAACTCACTTGAGATATATGCATACACCACAAGCATCGCGATCTTGACAGACACACATCCTGAGATATTAGCAAACACCCTCCACAAGCAATGAGATCATGACGATCATTCACTTTAAGATACAGTAATGACCCACAAGCACCTTTGTCTGTATGGAAATATATTCTTTGATTAAAACACATTACTAGTGCCTCTGCAAAGATACTAGGCAAGTTATTTTAAAGTTGGTATATAATATAGATGGGTAAAGCAGAAAGTTTGTGCACACGCAACACTGTTTACAAAATGTCCTGCCGGTAGCAAATTCGTCTATCTAGACTATGTGTGTTGTGTTCTGCTTTTTGTCTGTGTACATGTATTTTCTCGTAGGGGTCGGGTCTTCTTGTTGTGGTCTGATGTACGAAGAAAAGCGATATTCAAGTATAACAATACGATTTATCAAAATTTCTTTTCCAGCTGCTTTGTTACCTAGTAATATTTTCAACCACAGACGACAAATATGCTTCCATAAATTACCCTGTTAATGAATTTTGATGATGATCAGTTTTGTAACACATTTAGTATCTGACTGTTATTTTTAAGAAAACAGAAGATAAGAACAAAAGAGTTACTATTTAAAGAAATTAATATTTAAGAGCTGCCAGGTAAAAAACAAACAAGAAATTATTTGGAGCTTTAAAGGAATCAAAATATAAATATACAAATATTCAACAAATATAGTTGTACAATTATGCTTTCTGTTTGTTTTCCATTTGAAAGTGATTTATAAGGATTACCTATCTTTTGAGTTCGTATAGATTGTTCACCTGGTCAGCCTTCTCATCGAAATCATCTTGGTAACCTGAAATACAATAACTAAATCAAAAAAAGTACATGCAATGTATGGAACATATACACATTTGTATACGAGTCACAGAGACAAATAACTAATATAGGATCCAAACAAATTATCATGCACATCTCCTTATTTTCATATTAATTCATGCTTCAGGATACACGAAGGCCACATTTTGCGTAAAAAAACATATTAAATGCAAGCGCCATGTATTTTTTGTGCATTTTCAGGAGCCATATAAAGATTGCGATTTTTCATCAAAAGCAAGCTCTAATCGCTAATTTGACACCGTGAATCAATTTTTGGTAGCATACGTTACTGTCAAACCAATTTTCTGAAATCCTAGTTAAAAAAATTGATTCTCAAAATTAGTGATTCTTAAATTGACCTTCGTTGCAATCTTTAATACAAAAAGATGTTTATCAGAAGAAAAAAATGATTTAAATTTTTACACCAAATCCCCAAACTTTTATTAACAATTAGTTTTTGTTTTGTTTCCTGGAATCATGGGAATCAATCGGCATATACATTGGTGTTAATAATCATTAAATTAATGTTTAAAATTTTACTCCAAAAAGATGTATCTCGAAGTCTGTGATAAAACGAAAATATGCCACATTAATTATGCAATACCTGTGGTAGATGTTATCAATGCGAAAGGACAATGCTGACTGCCAAACAGTTTTTTTCAGTAAAATACGTAAAAGTAAAATAATAAACTATGTAAATAAAAGCACATGGTAAAAACTCTGTATATATATACCAGCATTTGGGGGAAGCTAATCCTTCAATCACCTGTTGATACCAATTGCCCAGCTGTTAATCTCTGACCACTTGGTCATATCTTATTAAATCGCAATGAAAATTAATTTATACAACTATGCAGGGCAGAAGCGGATTTAGGGGGGGGCAGGGTGCCCGGATCTCCCCTTTGTGGGAAAATTTTTGTTGATATAGGGAATCACTGCACTGAGGCATGACTGGAGCGGGCCTCCTCTGCGTCAGTCAGTGCCCCCCTCTTTTATGTACATTTCTGGATCCGCTACTGCAGGTAAACAAAGAAAATATAAGAGAACAAAACTGTAGAGGGAAAAATCTTAAGTGAAAACATATATTTATAGATAAATATTAAGTGTAAGATTAGTTTTAAATAAACTCTGACAAATGTTCTTTCTAAGGCAAGAAGAATTTGTATCTGAATCTGACAGCGACATTCACAACACTTATTATTCTAGACAAATAACCTTGATAATAGTGATTTTTTTTAACTAAATTTTCGTTTTATTTTTGGAGTGGACAGTATGTTGTATGAAAATATCTCTTTTCTGAAGAAAAGAACATTATGAGTTTTGGTACCCAGCAGTTAAATCAATATTTCAAAAATCTGAAAAACGTGGTTTTATTGCTAGTGTTTGGTCAATATTAAAGAGATGAAAACAAATGTGTCCTTCCATTTGACGCATATTTCATCCAAGTTTGGGAGCAACTTTTTGGCAGATATATATAATGAGCTGTATATTTTCTTAATCAATCATACCCAAAATTAGATTTGCTGTAGATTAAGAACACGAGTAATATTTCAGCTTGTAAATACAGTAAATAACCGGTAAATGAAAAAAGATATTTTCAAAATTTGCTTCAGATATTGACTCTTGATTATACAATAGCTTCTGTCCAAGCTTCATAATATTATACGAAGGTTTGAAAATATTATTGATGTGAAAAAATAAACTTCATCCAAAATATGTATCTAAATGTTAACTTCCAATTATTTTAGTCCATTAATAAAAGGGAAAAATGTCTCAAAAGTTTGCTCTGGATACTGTCTTTTGAATATGAGCAAACTTCTGTCAAAGTTCTGTCATAAATTTCCATGAAGGTTTGACAAAGTTAAATATGTGCGAAAACCTTTTAATCATTAAATAAATCGTTTCAATTTGATAAAAAACGAATAAAACCAAGATGAAGAATACCATTTTTTGACTGAAACCCTGTTGTGACTATCGAAGTCTTCCATCAAAAACTTGGCCAAAGAAAACTATGAACAAGAAAACTTCGAAAAAGAAAATTTGAACAAGAAAACTTGGTCAAAGTCATCTGTTCAATGTCACTATTAAAGTTTTTCATAATTTTCTTTTTAAAAGGCGGGATTTCCATGTTTACTTGAAGAAATATGGCTCTAATAATCTTTTCACTGTGTATTATCATTTTGAGAAGGTGAAGGATTAATCGTAAAATAGTAACGAAAACGGGAAGAAGAAACTGGCTTCTAAGAAGAAGGCAGAGTAGTACCGAACAGAATCCTTCAAGAACTTCACAGTGAAGATCTCCGAGGTCGAATTAAGGAATTATTTTGAAATTGAAAAAGCGACATTCAATCTGCTTTTGGCCAGATCGAACCATTGGTCAAAATACATTCTACAAATTCACATTCATATATCGATTTATTTCTCCACATTGTTTTCTTTTTACTGGAACTCATTCTACCATTTCCGATAAATTTGCCATGTACTTTTGTTTTGTGAACAAAATATTGATAATTTCTAAACAACACTATGATGGGCGAATTCCCGTCAAAATACAACAAAGTTTCAAGAAAATTCGAATGAGATTCTATTCCATTGAAGTCCGTGAAAGTTTTTGTCATCAGTATTTTTCAGAGTCAACTGTTGTCATTAGAACAAATCTTTCAAAAACTTGGACCAAGTATTCTTAGACAATGAAAATTTTAATAGTGACTACGGGTCTTTAGTGCAATGTCGAAAAATTTCATGTCGGTTCGAAGACGCCCTTTTTTAAACGATAGACTGAACCTATGTTTACGACACCGAAGATATCGAGGACGAGAACGTCCCACAACTGATGGATTGTAGTGTCTCGCTTCCGCAACACTTGTTGCCAGCTCGACCGCAAATTCGTCATCGCGAAACAGTTTATACAAACCTATCGAGTTCAATAACGATAATGATGTGCAATAAAACGTTGTAGTATAACTACTCCGTAGAGAAATTGACCAAGACGTTCTAAGTTAGGAACCTGTTGTTCAGTGGTTGTCGTTTGTTGATAAGTGTTTCTTGTTTCTCGATTTTTATATAGATAAGACCGTTGGTTTTCCTGTTTCGTTTTTTTTTGGTCCTTTATAGCTTGCTGTTCGGTGTGGGCCAAGGCTCCGTCTTGAAGGCCGTACTTTGACCTCTAATGGTTTACTTTTTACAAGTTGTGACTTAGATGGAGAGCTGTCTCATTGGCACTCATACCACATCTTCTTATATCTATATAAGTTCCTAACACACGGCTATGCCGGGTTTATGAATTTATTGAAATTATTTATGTGATTTGAATTTATATTCAAATAAAGATTTCTTGCTATTGTGCAATACACAGTGTTGTTGCGCAATACTTAGTAAATCTGTTTTCAGACTATATACCAAGAATTAGCAAAAGAAATTGTGACCCCCAATTTTTTTTTGTGGGGGGATTGATAATTTCTTAAATCTTCGGAGGGAAAAAAATTGACCCCCCCCCCAAAAAAAAATTTTGTACCCTTCCCCTAAAAAAAATAATATTTAAAGAAGTTTTGTTTTTTTGTAAAATGTGGTACAATTCAAGAGACATCCATACACTTCAACACAAATAATTGTCTGAAAACTAGAATCATGCTTGTTTTGGCCCCTAATTCCTGAACGGTTTGGGCAATTAGCCCCAAAATGAATCTCAACCTTCTACTTATGGTATTGAACCTTGTAGTATAGTTTTAGAGCAATCAAAATACTGAAACACAAGTTATTGTCCTGAAACTAGAAAAAATGCTTGTTTTGGGCCCCCTTTTGGCCCCTTTTTCCTATACGGATGTGACCATCACCCCCATAAACAATCCCAACCTTCCTTTTGTGGTATTGAACCTTTAGGTAAAATTTCATAGAGATGCGTACACTTAAACTAAAGTTATTTTCCGGAAACTAAGTGTCTTCTGACGACGACGACGTGATAGCAATATACGAACGTACTTTTTTTGCGGTCGTATAAAAACGATTAAGAAACGTCGCACGATACTGGTGTTATTTTGATGAAATCGTGGTCAAGACACACTCATGTCATTAATTTATAAACAATAAAATTGATATTCTGAAGTATTATGTATCATTTTAAAGCTTTTAAATTCTACTTTCAGAATATTGCAATTTTGTACATGTAACCAGGCATGGGGTAATGCAAATTTGTAATTGTAATGCATGGTAATTCATTACATTTTTCCAAGTAATTGCATGTAATGTGTAATGCAGCAATTTTTGCATTACATGTAATTGTAATATAATGCATTACTTGGGAAAGATGGCATTACTTTCTTCACATACTATATATATCTTTCACAGATTGTTGAAGATACATAATGTAACAGACTATTTTCATTATGTAAAAATCAATAAAACCTTCATTTTTGAATATTATTTCCTTGTCCCGCGTTACACTTTAAGTTTTGTGAAATTCTGAATATCGTAAAAAATATATAAAAAATTCCACCAACCTATATAAAAGTTTTGTCTAGAACAAACACGTCATAATTGGTCGATGATCTATATATATATGTCGGTTTCGTTCTTTGAAAAGACTGATTTTTTTAAAAGGGAGGAAGATGATACAAATTATGTGTCCCATGCACGAAAAATTGCCGTCATTTTTCTAAATTGTCCCCATAAATGGGAATAACAGAGCAACTACCATGTCGTAGGTAACTAATTCTTATACTTGTATTTTGTACAAAGCTCACACTTTCGCCTCATGCAATTATCAGGTTTTTTTTAAAATAATTTCTTTTTATTCGAGTTGAATAACAATGTCCGACATTTTGTCCCCTTCAAAAACAATTGACATAGTGTTTTTAAGTTTTTCTATTTTTTTTCATGATATTTATTTGATACAGTGCTATTCACTACATAAAAAAAGTATAGGGGATAAAAGTACAAACAATTCTCTCTATTTTGATATTTATTTCTCATAAATTTAATCTAAAGTACGAAATATCAGATACATCTACAATGTCCCGACATACGATTTTGACGTTATGTAACAAAATATACAAATGTTACGACTAATTGTCATTATTGCGGTATTCACAGACGATTCGGAATACGGCTATTTTTTGGTTGCTTGTGAAGAAAACTTTTAATGTTTTAGGTAAAAGCTCTACCAATTCATTGGAGGAGAAATATTTCCTCGCGGAACAGAAGTGTTTTCCGGACTTTGTTATGATCGACAGGCCCATCCGCTACAACACAAATTAATAGAAAGGAAAGCAGCCGTATTATTCCCGCTGATTCCCTTGCATATATTTGTTAAGAACTCAATCAAACTGTCATGCTAACTATACTGTAGTCCATTCGCCTCAACATTCTGGATTGTATAAAAGAATGCATTTGCAGTGCGTTGTGTATTAAAAAGAAATTGATTGCTTTTTGTAATTAAAATGTATACTATTCAAATGATTTCAATTCAATTAACATTTTTTTTAATTTGTTAATAAAAAGCTTAGTATCTACTATCTAAGAAAAATATGAATCTTAAGGTATTTCGCTCATAAAATCCGTTAAAATTTATTTTAGAACTTGAGCCATCTTAAAAACGTGCATTCTAACGTTTTTGTTTTGGCTTACGTATTCAAGTGTGTAACGTTAGGTGACACCAGTTTCGTGCGACGTTTCTAAAATATTCTTCATAGAAATTCAGTGTTAAGCAGCAGCCCATTTTGAGACCTCAAGTCCATATCATGTTTTCCAGTATGCCGGAGGATTTCTTGGCTAATTGTTATAATTTGAATGCAAACAAAACGATAAGGATTGGCAAATCAGACAAGTGAAAATTCTCAAGAGATTTTCCTTATCAATAATCAAATAGTGTATATGTCAAGTATTTGCTTCAATACTATAAAAAATTATAATAACAACTTAATGCTATCATATTTTATAATTAATTAATGCTATGTAATGTGATATATTCAATACATAATTCTTGAGCCCTCATATTATAGATAACATGTAAATACTAGTTTTTATATTTCAAATAAAAATAAAATTTGAGAAACCACAAGCGGTGCGGTAAATACTGTCCTTCGATCTAAACCATAATACTTTTATTTAACCAGTTGGCACTCATAAACCAAAGAATGGCTAATTAATTCATCCCTTGGTATCTTCAGCCTCCTTTTTATCAACACATTTATTCATTTTAGAAATGATATAATGTTTGAATCTTTTGTCAGAGCAATACATTTATGTAGAGTGTAAAAACAAGTTTTTGTCCTTTTTTTCTCACTTTTTTAAATTTAAATAAATTTAACATGGAAATAAAGTAGAAAAATAAATATATTTAATGCGGTGACCCTGTATATAGGTGGAAATCTCAAAGAAGAGAAAAAAGAAACTTAAGATACTACGTATATACTAATTTCCCAAAATGATTTATTCACTCGCAAGGTTAATTGCATTTTCTATTTCATGAAACAAAAAGAAATTTCCTAACAACTAATCAATTTCCCATCAATATAATCTTTTGTTATACGAAATTGATTTATCATATATAAGTTTCGCTTTTCATTGACGCTAGTATTAAAACTAAATATTGTGTGAATTAAATACGACATTCATATTTTTTTTTCATAACGAAATAAAAGATGCATATAATTATTTCGTGATATATGAAAAAAATATTAAACTTGATATATTCACAAGTGCCTTAAGTGTATATTGCTTAGACATAGCAGCAGCAAAGTCATATAGCAGCCCCTGTCAACAATCGACCAACGTTTTTGTTACATATATTAATTTGTTCAATATACTGTCATTCCATTTGCAGACACAATGCGGTTTGGGGGTTGTCTTCTAGTCTTTGTTCGCTGTCTTTTTGTCAATACACCAGACTAGTTTTGTATTCATAATTTCAAAAAAGCTAGGGCATATGAATTATGTAGAGATAAATGACACTTCTTTTTAAAAAAAACTTGTCGATACAATTTCGGACTTGTACGTCAACATGAGATGACCCCATCTGTGATGTTTTTAGAAAATATAAATGATGCACAAGCATCACTAGTTGAAAACAGAACTTTTAACTGAAACCATCTGTCGAAATGTTCGAGTGAAAGTTCCTTCTGCTACAACATGACACCATCTCTGGGAAGGCTGGTTACGACCATACTCGATTAAAACAACATAGTTACGCCAAACAAAGTTACGTCTATATTAACCTTTTCTTCGTTTACAATTAAATATACAATGTATATGCAATATTATTACTCACCTATATCATATTTCTTTGAAACGTCCTCTTCGTTATATACATACTCAGTATTGCCTTCCATGACCTGGAATCGAATTTGAATTTTGAACCAATGAAAAAATAGAGATGTAACGGCGCTTATTTTCAAAATTTTCAAACTATACTAACTCTACTTCCGTTCCACTTTAAATGTTTGAAATACGTATGGAAATAAAGTAACCGAGAATAAACAAATGTTAGCATGCCATATAATCTTAAAACATATAAATACATATACTGAATATTTGTTCCGGATCAACAAATTACAAATGGAAAATTATTGAAACTTGTGAAATCGTGTTAGTTAGTCAGTCATACACAAGTTTTTGGAATATACTGTGTTCTGGAATTTAAAAAACCCAACAACAACAATGCAAATATCTATCAACCAGTGTTAATGTGGTGACATCTTTACAAGCAAGTCTTACATCTTTTTGTGACATATACTTTGGGAAGACTTTACGTAATGATGACAGAAGTTCAATTATGGAGACGAGACTAGTGAAAACGGTGAGTGTTTCTTTTATTCACAATGTGTCACTATAAAAATAAATTTTTAATTCTCAAAATATCTTTACTTAATATACAATAATTAAACCAGTAAATCATCATTTCGCCCTTTCTAAATTATGTGTACAGGGTTCCAAATAAATGTTCCCATTAAAATGCAAATTATGATCGTCCAAAAACAGGGGTTCCAACCCCGAACCCCACCCCCTGGATCCGCAACTGGTGTAACAAATCCAATATAAATCACACATCTTTTGACTGATAAATTTCGGTTCATATTTCATTTTGAATTTCCTTAATTTTTGACTAATATGATACGGAAAGTAATATCATAGTTTTCTTTGTCATAATACGAAATAGTAAATTATGTTCAGTCATTTTCAAACTGACAACGACATGGCTATAAAGAAAAACAGACAAACAACAGAACACAAGCCTAAAGACTGAGCAACACGAACCCCACCACGATTTAATTATATATATATATTTTTATATCATTTATTTATATAAATGAAATTGTCGGTCCAAAAATCATATAATAATTAAAAAAAAAAGGAAAACAAATAAAAAAACGTCTGCTCTAAGACAGAAACGGGAGAACCAATATAATCGATTGATATGAGTATGAAGTCCTGCACTACATCATGTACATGTATGCTATAAAACTAAAACACTTTCAGCATGTTTTGTTCACACCATAATCATGATAATCACCAACCAGACTCAAGCTAGCGAACAATAAGCCAGCGAACAATAAGGTGTATCAAGCTAGCGAACAATAAGCCAGCGAACAATAAGAAATACGCGCCAAACTGATCTTGCCTAAAAACCGAAGACTTGCATTAACATGAAACGTTCTTCGAAATCTGATGACAATCATTTCCAGTAGGAAGACAAAATGCAATACATTTTCAAAAAGACTATTAATTGAAAACTGTTTGTTTATTTATTTATTTATATATTCAAGACAACATAATTGTTCTTGACCACAGGACATCTCTTGTAGGATTTCAAAATTCCTTTTAAGTTCTCCTCTCTCGTTTTTGATTACCTTTGAGTAGAAACGGTTTGTCTTTATAATCATGATAATAGTGAATAAATAAAACAATTAGACCATACTTAACTAGTGTAAAGATAAAATTAAATCCACATGCTTATATCCTTTTTAAAGAAAACAAAATACCGATTTTTGAACGTAAAGTACAGAATTTTGCAGTCTGAATTATAAGTTGAAATAAAAGCTAACAAATATCCACAGTTTTCGTTAGGAATGATTGAAAACTGGCAATTTATTTATTACATTTCAATAGGAAATGTGTTTTATGTGACAATGACACACGTGACACGATATCTGAATGGATATAAAGATTTTAGCTACTTTAACAGACAAAATTTTCAAATCAAAGCTTTTCAAGGAGGCATATTTAAAAAAAACTCGGAAAACAGACGGAAAACCGAAATCAGAAGAACAATTTCTTTACACTGATTAAAATTAACAAGAAGAGGATGCAATCACAACAATACAAACTATTTCATATTAACATTGGAATTATAATCGGGGAAACGGTCCAAAGTTGGGGTAGGGTGACCCAACCCCCTTCCTTCTTTAATCCATAAAAAAGTCCCTACGGCAAAGCTTTTGTCCACACTAGGTACAAATGATAGACAATTGCCTAAGGTTGCCTGGACCCAAAGACCCAGGTGGGTAAAGTTACGGAACTTTTTTAATTGAGGTCCAAAGTTGGGGTAGGGTGACCCAACCCCCTTCCTTCTTTAATCCATAAAAAAGTCCCTACGGCAAAGCTTTTGTCCACACTAGGTACAAATGATAGACAATTGCCTAAGGTTGCCTGGACCCAAAGACCCAGGTGGGTAAAGTTACGGAACTTTTTTAATTGAGGTCCAAAGTTGGGGTAGGGTGACCCAACCCCCTTCCTTCTTTAATCCATAAAAAAGTCCCTACGGCAAAGCTTTTGTCCACACTAGGTACAAATGATAGACAATTGCCTAAGGTTGCCTGGACCCAAAGACCCAGGTGGGTAAAGTTACGGAACTTTTTTAATTGAGGTCCAAAGTTGGGGTAGGGTGACCCAACCCCCTTCCTTCTTTAATCCATAAAAAAGTCCCTACGGCAAAGCTTTTGTCCACACTAGGTACAAATGATAGACAATTGCCTAAGGTTGCCTGGACCCAAAGACCCAGGTGGGTAAAGTTACGGAACTTTTTTAATTGAGGTCCAAAGTTGGGGTAGGGTGACCCAACCCCCTTCCTTCTTTAATCCATAAAAAAGTCCCTACGGCAAAGCTTTTGTCCACACTAGGTACAAATGATAGACAATTGCCTAAGGTTGTCTGGACCCAAAGACCCAGGTGGGTAAAGTTACGGAACTTTTTTAATTGAGGTCCAAAGTTGGGGTAGGGTGACCCAACCCCCTTCCTTCTTTAATCCATAAAAAAGTCCCTACGGCAAAGCTTTTGTCCACACTAGGTACAAATGATAGACAATTGCCTAAGGTTGCCTGGACCCAAAGACCCAGGTGGGTAAAGTTACGGAACTTTTTTAATTGAGGTCCAAAGTTGGGGTAGGGTGACCCAACCCCCTTCCTTCTTTAATCCATAAAAAAGTCCCTACGGCAAAGCTTTTGTCCACACTAGGTACAAATGATAGACAATTGCCTAAGGTTGCCTGGACCCAAAGACCCAGGTGGGTAAAGTTACGGAACTTTTTTAATTGAGGTCCAAAGTTGGGGTAGGGTGACCCAACCCCCTTCCTTCTTTAATCCATAAAAAAGTCCCTACGGCAAAGCTTTTGTCCACACTAGGTACAAATGATAGACAATTGCCTAAGGTTGCCTGGACCCAAAGACCCAGGTGGGTAAAGTTACGGAACTTTTTTAATTGAGGTCCAAAGTTGGGGTAGGGTGACCCAACCCCCTTCCTTCTTTAATCCATAAAAAAGTCCCTACGGCAAAGCTTTTGTCCACACTAGGTACAAATGATAGACAATTGCCTAAGGTTGCCTGGACCCAAAGACCCAGGTGGGTAAAGTTACGGAACTTTTTTAATTGAGGTCCAAAGTTGGGGTAGGGTGACCCAACCCCCTTCCTTCTTTAATCCATAAAAAAGTCCCTACGGCAAAGCTTTTGTCCACACTAGGTACAAATGATAGACAATTGCCTAAGGTTGCCTGGACCCAAAGACCCAGGTGGGTAAAGTTACGGAACTTTTTTAATTGAGGTCCAAAGTTGGGGTAGGGTGACCCAACCCCCTTCCTTCTTTAATCCATAAAAAAGTCCCTACGGCAAAGCTTTTGTCCACACTAGGTACAAATGATAGACAATTGCCTAAGGTTGCCTGGACCCAAAGACCCAGGTGGGTAAAGTTACGGAACTTTTTTAATTGAGGTCCAAAGTTGGGGTAGGGTGACCCAACCCCCTTCCTTCTTTAATCCATAAAAAAGTCCCTACGGCAAAGCTTTTGTCCACACTAGGTACAAATGATAGACAATTGCCTAAGGTTGCCTGGACCCAAAGACCCAGGTGGGTAAAGTTACGGAACTTTTTTAATTGAGGTCCAAAGTTGGGGTAGGGTGACCCAACCCCCTTCCTTCTTTAATCCATAAAAAAGTCCCTACGGCAAAGCTTTTGTCCACACTAGGTACAAATGATAGACAATTGCCTAAGGTTGCCTGGACCCAAAGACCCAGGTGGGTAAAGTTACGGAACTTTTTTAATTGAGGTCCAAAGTTGGGGTAGGGTGACCCAACCCCCTTCCTTCTTTAATCCATAAAAAAGTCCCTACGGCAAAGCTTTTGTCCACACTAGGTACAAATGATAGACAATTGCCTAAGGTTGCCTGGACCCAAAGACCCAGGTGGGTAAAGTTACGGAACTTTTTTAATTGAGGTCCAAAGTTGGGGTAGGGTGACCCAACCCCCTTCCTTCTTTAATCCATAAAAAAGTCCCTACGGCAAAGCTTTTGTCCACACTAGGTACAAATGATAGACAATTGCCTAAGGTTGCCTGGACCCAAAGACCCAGGTGGGTAAAGTTACGGAACTTTTTTAATTGAGGTCCAAAGTTGGGGTAGGGTGACCCAACCCCCTTCCTTCTTTAATCCATAAAAAAGTCCCTACGGCAAAGCTTTTGTCCACACTAGGTACAAATGATAGACAATTGCCTAAGGTTGCCTGGACCCAAAGACCCAGGTGGGTAAAGTTACGGAACTTTTTTAATTGAGGTCCAAAGTTGGGGTAGGGTGACCCAACCCCCTTCCTTCTTTAATCCATAAAAAAGTCCCTACGGCAAAGCTTTTGTCCACACTAGGTACAAATGATAGACAATTGCCTAAGGTTGCCTGGACCCAAAGACCCAGGTGGGTAAAGTTACGGAACTTTTTTAATTGAGGTCCAAAGTTGGGGTAGGGTGACCCAACCCCCTTCCTTCTTTAATCCATAAAAAAGTCCCTACGGCAAAGCTTTTGTCCACACTAGGTACAAATGATAGACAATTGCCTAAGGTTGCCTGGACCCAAAGAC